ATAATTATACATGTAACCCCTGGGTTACATGTTTAATTATGGAGTGACAAGGAGTGGCAGGTTACATGTTTAGTTATGGAGTGATGGGTTAAATCTATAATCATGGAGTGACAAGTTACATGTTTAGTTATGGAGTGATGGGTTACATGTATAATTATGGACTGATGGGTTACATGTTTAGTCATGGAGTGACAGGTTACATGTTTAATTAGGAAGTGATAATGGAGTGGTGGGTTACATGTATAATCATGGAGTGACAGGTTACATGTTTAATTATGGAGTGATGGGTTACATGTATAATTATGAAGTGATGGGTTACATGTTTAATTATGGAGTGACAAGTTACATGTATAATTATGAAGTGATGGGTTACATGTATAATTATGAAGTGATGGGTTACATGTATAATTATGGAGTGATGGGTTACATGTATAATAATGGAGTGGTGGGTTACATGTATAATTATGGAGTGATAGGTTACATGTTTAATTATTTATACATTTAAGTGCAGTCACGGAACTCGTGGAAATTCTTCGACAGAAATATGGAATTAGTGCTTTAGGTTTGTCAGTTTTCAGAGGGCACACTATAGAACGCTGTTGAATTTTGTCCGTTTTTAAATCGACCTAGAAAATGTCTAAATTTATACAAAATTCATCACGAGAAATGATTGGCTTTCGTTAAATTGGTTTCGAAGTAGCACTGAAACCCGAGAGTTACGTAACACCAGGAGAGCCTTTTTGAACTTCAGACCAGAGGAAAGGCAACCACTCAATAGCATACATAGTCTGCATGTATCCCCTAAACAGAAGTGACGTTCATGATTATAACACCACCACCCCAACTGAAAGTATGAGCGTTCCCAACCCTAAAAGATACGTTTGGTAAATTTCTAACCAAACACTCCTGTTTACGCAGAATTTCAATTTATTATATAAAAAAAAACAAAGAATAAAAAAAAAGAAGAAGACGATAACATAAAGGGAAATTACAAGCCAAGAAAAATAAAATAAGAAACGGACTCACTGAATTCTTCCAAATGTGTATTACTCTTTAATTGGTAAATTGGTAATTTGCTGAACCAGATATTTTATTTAATGATTGTCGACTTGGTTTCTACAGTTTCGAACTGGGTGGAAGCGGTATTAATGAACAGCATTCTGACTAAACGCTAGCGACCTCTTTCAGTGAGACTCTTTTTAAACACTTCCATTTAAAAGTCAACACGATTCGTCTGTTTAGAACGATTTTAAGATACAAATTCATGGTTTTATATTGTATTTACGCAAAACGCTAGATATGTTGAATAAGCGTATATTGCAGCAAAGACTCTTCGATTAGCTGTACACCAAGAGACTGAATATTCGATTAGCTGTACACCAAGAGACTGAATATTCGATTAGCTGTACACCAAGAGATTGAATATTCGATTAGCTGTACACCAAGAGACTGAACATTCGATTAGCTGTACACCAAGAGGCTGAACATTCAATTAGCTATACACCAAGAGACTGAACATTCGATTAGCTATACACCAAGAGGCTGAACAACAGTCCTTTTATAAAGGCAAAATGCAAAACACGTACAGTTCACTGACTAGAAGCTCAGAGAGGAACTCCGGACCCCAGTAGCCTATTAACAAGGGGAGGGACAGGCACGAGGTTTTCGAGTTTTAGGTAGAATAGCCTATGAAACCCTTGAACGCTGACGGACCGGAGATCAGGAATTCTACCCAGAATGTGAGAAAATAAATTTGTTTTTCTTTGGGCTGCTATATTGTAGGTCACGTGATCGCGTAAAGCGCCAACTATCTTCATTTGTAGCTGATCGATCTTCTGAGATTCTCTCAGGCCATGCCGTTCTACAAAAAACACACAAACAAACATCGTTTAGTATGAAGAATTACACACAGAAACAAAACACATATAATTTCTGTGCATTTCTTTCCTCTTCGGTTTCAAGCAGCAAAAAGTAGAAAACAAAGAAAAGCTGTAGAATTTTCCACAACCCAAATGTTTAACTGATATATAGTTTTATACTGAAGTAGCATTTAAAAGTTTGTTTTACACGTGATATTTATTATTTTTTTACCTTTGAAATTCAGTATCAAAACTTAGTAGCTACTAGTATTCAGAGAATTATAATAAATTATATTAATAACAGCTTTCTCAACTTGAAATTCAGTTAATCAATATATAAATCACTGTTTTCACAATTTTATCCAAGAGTTTGCCAAATATAGGTCAAATTATATATAAATCTTGTAAAATGAAATAACCAATATCGTTTTTACTGCCATCTATTGACAAATATTTTAATAACATATAAGAAAGAATGAAAATCGTTAGGATGCTGTATAACACAAGCTTTCCATTCAATTTAACCAAGAAAGAAACAAACAAACTACACAAGTAAATATTATATTTTAGGCATTTTTTTTGTTTTTCACAAGAACTAGAAATGTTAAAAATGTTAATTATAAAATAAAATATAAACAAAGAAATTCTTAATGATGTACAATAACTCTGACTATTCACAATAACGTTTTTGAATTTGTTACCTCCGTTCACATCTAAGAATTCTCGAATTTACTAACATTTTTCATTTTGGGTGAAATATTCTTAATTACGGCGTTTCCCTACACTACGTTAGAAATATATTACGTTAGTTGGGAAAGAAAGGTGTAAACATTGGGTATGTAATTTGACTTCATGAATAGATTGATTATTTGTAATCTAAGTAGTTTCCTCAGGTAAACCCAGCCATTTCAAACTCTAGTTTTTCTTTATGCCTTTATATATATGTAGGCACAGCAAATAATTGTTATCGGTGTGCCTTTTAGGTTTATCGACTTAGGTCACAGATTTGTCCGCCATCGATAAACAAAATAGGTAACGATATGCTATGTTAGTTTCATATACTCCACAAGATGGCGCCACCTACAAGTAAATAGGACTGAGTTCTTTATACGTGGGGATTACAGTGTTTTCAGACAATGATGTTAGTCATAGCGAATCTTGAAATAATATTTTTAGCTAAGTTTTGTCCACCATCGATAAACAAGATAGGTAACGACATGTTATGTTAGTTTCATGTACTCCACAAGATGGCGCCACCTACAAGTTCTATATACGTGGGGATTACAGTGTTTTCTGACAATGTTAGTCATAGCGAATCTTGAAATAATATCTTTAGTTAAGTTTTGTCAAATCATCAGGTTTTTTGCCAAGTTTTACATACCTGTTATTAAGACCAAGGCACACAGGCAAGCGAAAGATGAAATATCAATTTCTAGAGCGTGCAGACTCTTGGCAAATTCCACTATTGAATCTAACCAGTCACCGAAACCTCGGCGGCATTCTTCCTTATGCAGAATGAATCCGCAACAGAAAGTCAGTCTATCATCATCCATCTTCATACTAAATAAGGAATAATCATATCAGAAAGAAAGAAAAAGTATTACAAAGAGGTGATTTATGTTTTAAAAAAGTGAAAACTAGAATACAGGCTTAACTGCAGTTCAGATATGATAGAAATAAAAGGCTTACAAAAACATTTGAGAACTACAATGGTAACTATTGCTTAACAATATGTTGTTGTAACGTGTTCTATCGCTGGACGGGTACTTTTAGTTTATTTGTTAAAATTAATATAAAGTCCTGTCCACTTAATCATAAATAATTTCTATAACTTTTGCTACAGACTGCGTTCTCTGGTAGACCTAACTTCACCAATAATGTTTCAACAGAAATCCCAAGACTAATATACGCTAACTTATTCATAAACTTACATGCAGAATTTCCTCACTAATCCATTGATAACAAATATACTAATTTGTTAAGTTGATCACTGAGTAACAGACACACTAAATTTCACTGTCAACCTCACTAACTGACACTGAACTCATTAACACATTAACTAATTAATTAACTAACTAACTCCGGCATTTTTATTTCATTACTCATTTTATACTTACTACACAAAACTTCTATATATGCGTCGTCAATGCATAATGACAAGCTCCCTTTAGCAAACAAACATCTAAATTAAAGTATTAAAAATATAGGTTACAACAATATAAGTAAGGTAGTCTTATCTTTATTTTTTTGTCCCAAAAATTTTGTTATTGTTTGATAAATATTCCTTTCTTTTTTTCATGTGAAAAATATTCGAAAGACATTATTGAGCAATAATAAAGGAAAAAAGAGGAAGGCATCCTCATCAACGATCTAAGGCTTTTTTAAATAAAGAGAAGTAAAGTTTTGCCCTAAAATCTAATTAAGACTATAATTTAAAATTAAAAATTAACGTTAACGAAACGATTTAAGTACACTAGTAACTACATTTAAGCTTTATGAACCAAACAAACATTGTTTTGTTCCATTCCTCATTGCTTATAAACACAAGTAAATAGGGCCTTTGTCCCTGTTTGCAAATGGAGCCCATGCATATTTTTCTCTAACTGGTGAATAGTGCGAGTTTCAGCAGTTTTTTTTTTAATCTTATCGTCCAATGAGATACAAGACCGCGAAAACCTCCTAAACACCATTGTGTACTCTAGTATATTGTTAACTTACCGGTAGGACAGTCGGAGAACAAACAGTTCCAGAAAAGCCGCTTGAAACAGAAGTTCTTGGTCTTCTCTGCTGAACTCCGTAAATCCGGGAACTTTCTCAGCGAAGGTCCGAATGATTTCGATTGATGACGTAATCAGATTGAAAACAAGTTGGACTTGCTCAGCTTCTGAAGGCATACTTTCAGCTGATCCCGGATCTCGAAGCTGATCGAAATAAAACTTCCTTTAGGAAGGCAGACAAATACAGACAGTGCCAACTTCCATGAAATCCACAATATGAACTTTTAGCCAGTTCCAAGCTAATAACACCACCACATTATTCTGATTCGTTAAGCTGTATATCAAATAAAGTTATATTTTTTTAGTTTATTTGTTAAGTAACTCTCTTGTACCCCATAAACCAGGATTATAGTTTCCTAATTATGGAGTAACCTATACGTATTATGTACTAGAGAAAGATTCGGACACAAATCTCTGGGATTAGACGTACATGCTAGTTAAGTGATAAACCTCGCGTTAATTAATGTTATGATAATTACATGATAAACCTGGTGTGACTGAACGTTATGTTAGACGTATGTGTTTATTACGTGATCAATCTGGTGTGACTAAATTTTATTTTAGACATATATATTTGTTACGTCAGAAACCTGCTGTGACTAAATGTTATGTTAGACGTATATGTTTATTTCGTGATAAACCTGGTGTGCTAAAGGTTATGTTAGACATGTGTTAGTTATGTAATAAACCTGGTGTGACTAAATGTTATGTTAGACGTATGTGTTTATTACGTCAGAAACCTGCTGTGACTAAATTTTATTTTAGACATATATGTTTGTTACGTCAGAAACCTGCTGTGACTAAATGTTATGTTACACGTATGTGTTTATTTCGTGATAAACCTGGTGTGCTAAATGTTGTTTTAGATGTATGATTTATTAGTAGATAAACCTTGTGTGACTAAATGTTATGTTAGACATATATGTTTGTTCCGTCAGAAACCTGCTGTGACTAAATGTTATGTTAGACGTATATGTTTATTTCGTGATAAACCTGGTGTGCTAAAGGTTATGTTAGACATGCGTTAGTTATGTAATAAACCTGGTGTGACTAAATGCTATGGTAGACGCATGTGTTTGTTACGTCAGAAACCTGGTATGACTAAATGTTATGTTAGACATGTGTTCGTTACGTGATAAACCTTGTGTGACCAAATGTTATGTTAGACGTATATGTTTATTTCGTGATAAATCTGGTGTGCTAAAGGTTATGTTAGACATGTGTTAGTTATGTAATAAACCTGGTGTGACTAAATGTTATGGTAGACGCATGTGTTTATTACATTATAAACCCGGTGTGAGTAAATGTTATGTTTGACATGTGTTAGTTATGTAATAAACCTGGTGTGACTAAATGTTATGGTAGACGCATGTGTTTATTACATTATAAACCCGGTGTGAGTAAATGTTATGTTTGACATGTGTTAGTTATGTAATAAACCTGGAGTGCTAAAGGTTATGTTAGACATGTGTTCGTTATGTGATAAACCTTGTGTGACTAAATGTTGTGTTAGACGTATGTGTTTGTTACGTGATAAACCTGATGTGACTAAATGTTGTGTTGGATGTATGTGTTTATTTCGTGATAAACCTGCTGTGGTAAAGGTTATGTTAGACATGTGTTAGTTATGTAATAAACCTGGAGTGCTAAAGGTTATGTTAGACATGTGTTAGTTATGTAATAAACCTGGAGTGCTAAAGGTTATGTTAGACATGTGTTAGTTATGTAATAAACCTGGTGTGACTAAATGTTATGGTAGACGCATGTGTTTATTACGTTATAAACCCGGTGTGAGTAAATGTTATGTTTGACGTTTGTATTAGTATGTGATGAACCTGGTGAGACTAAACGTTGTGTTAAATATATGTGTTATTTATATGATACAAGAAGGTTATTACAAAATATGGGACAAACAAAAGAAATCTTCTTGCATTTCTTGTCTAAGCTATTTTTAAATTGAACTTAACCATTTTATTTCATTTGTTCAGTTAATGTTTATAAATCACTTCGTTAACAGATGGCGCGATTATATTGTTTCTAATTATTTTTACCTTAGAATAGTTCAAGTTCGCGATATCCGGGGAAGTATCCACATGAGCACGCACCAACGACGTAATAAGAGTGACAGGAGGCGATGGTGGCGACTCCTGACACACCTTTTTTGAAGATGGTAATCGACCACGACGACCCTTTAATGTGTGTGATCTTACCACTGAAAAAAAAGGAAACACTTTTGTACTAATGGTGGTTTATTGAAACTTAAGCATTTAATGTTTTGATTTCACACAAAGCTACAAGAGGGCTATCTGCGCAAGCCGTCCTTTATTTAGAATTGAAAGACTAGAAGGAAGGCAGCTAGTCATCACCACCCACCGCCGTCAACTATTTTACCAACGAATAGTGGTATTGGCCGTCACATTATACTGCCACCATGGCTGAAAGAGCGAGCATGTTTGGTAAGACGGGGATTCTAACCCCCGACCCCCAGGTTGCGAGTGAAGCGCCCTAACACCTGGCTATGCCGGATAGGCAATTAATGAGAAGAAAAATGTTTGTACTAAGTAGGTATTATTATTTTGTAACGTGGTATTGTTGTAAAACTTAAGGAACTAATGAAAAGAAGTATTGTTGTATTAAGCACGTAGTATTGTTGTAAAACTTAAGGAACTAATAAAAAGAAGTATTGTTGTATTAAGCACGTAGTATTGTTGTAGAACTTAAGCAACTAGTGAGAAAAAGCATTTTTGTATTAAGCACGTAGTATTGTTGTAGAACTTAAGCAACTAATGAGAAGAAGCATTGTTGTATTGAATAGGTGTCATTGTTGGGAAACCAAAGCAACTAATGCAGGTGTTTTAGTAACATAGTTAGCAGGAATAAATAATAGTAAAACTTAAAATAAAGTCCAATAAAAAACAAAACAAAAAACAAATCGGTTAAAGGACGAGAAACCTTATTTATAAGGGTCGGGCGATTTGAAATACACAGTCAGAGGAAGCAAAGATAGCCGTGGGGGATCTAAAATGCATGCGAGACCTGAACATGATAATTCTATAGAGATTAGGGGTATAATCCCCATAAAATGTGTCATTAATAGACTCGAAATATAGTAATTCGTAAAATACACATGGTAAAACGCGGATATGCAATGTATGGCAGCATTAAGAGTTATCAACAGGTATTAACCTTCTCCACCAGACGTAGATATGGGGGACCATAATCCCCCTGGTTCCTCCGCATGTGCAAAATTATTGACACCTCTAAATATGTTTGCGTCCTAAACATCATCACTGGAGTCCATTTTGTTTCTAAAAAAGCTTTGTAATACAGGCCGTTTTGTTAAATAAAAATCTTCAATCAGGCCTAAAGTTGTTATTGGTTTCGTAGTCGTATCAAAGGTGTATTAAATGTTTTTGGTCACCAAACCAGGACAGTTTGTAGCACCAGTGTTTGCTTGCGATTGACGTTTCAAATTAACGCAATTTAAAGTATAAGGGAATTTCGCATTTGTTAATATAAAGCTAGAATTCAGAGTTTGATCCCCGTGGCAGACACAGATATCCTCTCGTGTAGCTTTTGCCCCGAAACACAACCAACAATTTTAAACATTAACTCGTAGTTTTCATAAGACACGTAAATAAAGTTTTTGTAGGAATAGTAAAAAAACCACTTAGTTTTTTAAAAAGTGATTCTCAGGTTATAGGTATCTGAGACCCCCAGTGACTCAGTGGTTCGTTTGTCGGATTATACTGCTAAAAACTGGGTTAGAAACCGGGTTTCCACACTCATTGTGAGCACAGAACAGATAACTCTTTGCGTAGCTTTGTGCCTAACCACAAAAGAAACAAACAAACAATAGGTATCTACAGATTAAGATCAAATGAGATATATATATATATTCACCTATGGACATTTTGTTTTTAATTTATTGTTCGTCATTCTAAAACAAACTATACAATTTCTTCAATTCCTTCAGAAACTTTTTAAACATTTCATTCAAATTGTAAATCATTTTATCAGCGGGTCCTTGTGAAAGCGTTATCAGTCTGAGTTGCAAAATTAGCACCGGACATGGGATAAACAAAATGTAGAAGTAAAAGGAACACGACATTTTGGGAGATACATTCACTCTGATACACTTCTTACCACCTAGACCGTCGTAAGAAAAAAAACCATTGTATCAGTCACAGATCTTGTAACATTGGTTCGGCTAGGTCTAAAGCTCCATTATATTAATCACCAGTAATGTTAGTTTGATTCTGCTAGGTTTCATTACACATCCTTCATCACTCGGTTGTCGACTGTAAAGGGTAAAATAAAAACAACTTTTGTTTCCGTCACTTACCCTCTTTGTTCATACCAACAGTCAAACACTTCTGAAACCGACAAAACTGGCATCGGTTTCGGCGCCGTTTGTCAACAGGACAAGCTTTGTTTCCTAAACAGACGTATTTCGCCCCCTTTTGGACTGTGCGCTGGAAATAGATGTTAAACATTGTAAGCAAAATAGTTTGTTTAAATACAAAGGATCACACTTATGCATGGTTAGAAGCTATTGTTTTTATGGTTAATTTCTAACTCGTATAAGTAGAATGTCCCAAGAATTAAGAACTACGTTTACCAGAGATACAAATGAAACAGACTTAAAGATTTCATACTCTAGCCCAGAAGTCAAGGTTGACCTTGACGTCTGTTTATGTCCCAAAAACATGTATCAAGTCTTCAATGTCATCTTTCCATTGATGTTAACACTGCAAAAATGCTCGCAAAATCTCAACTCTTGCGTAAACTTTGACATCTTGTTTTCTAAGGTAACTCAACCAAAAAAATTCAAAAATCTTATTACAGTTCAGTCCTGGACCCTCAATGTGACTTTTGACATCTTGTTCTAAAGTTACTCAACCAAAATAATTATAAAATGTGATTATAATTCAGTCCTGAATCCCCAGTGTAAACTCTGACAGTAAGTCAACCAAAATTATTCTAAAATCTTATTATAGTCCAGTTCTGTACCCTTCATGTTACCTTTGACATCTTGTTTCCTAAGGTAGGTCAACCAAATTATTCACTTACTGCCTATTTCCATTGAGTAGATACACTTAAAATATTTAAACTACTTTTTAGAATTTGTTGTATTAAAGCATGTTTGTTCTTTCTGGATGATTATCAGCCAAATAATATTTATTATGTTCTGCAGGTGGTTAATCGCATTTTATAAGAACGTTTGTAAATGCTGGAGAAGTACGTCATAGCCTTTCCAAGAAAGGACATTTGTATAACATTGTTAGACAATGCGGAACTAAAGAACATAACACTGCAAAAAAGATAGATATAAACTTTTTCTCTAAATGGGAGAACATTTTGATAGCAAAACGTCGAGGAAATTCATGGGCTCTGAAAGCTCACTTCACGTCATTTCAGAGCAACACCTTCATCATATGGAATGTGAAGGTTAAGTTTACGAGAGAGAACCTTCCGACCCCAAAAGCCATTGCTGAGTGTATTTCTTTGTGCCGCTATTATGATAATAAACAGAGATGTGAAGTTGACGATGGCTCATAAGCTTCAACTAATACTTGAAACTGAAAACTGTTTCCAGACATTTGAATGAGATAGACTGATGATGGTAGAAGTAGTTCCAAGAGCGGATAGGTATTTGCATTTTGTATTTATAGCAGAGCTATTAAGCTTATCTTTCACGATCACTACGGACCAGAGAGAAGGTAGTCAGTCAGTAGCACACTACCACTCAACACTCACACTAGCGGACTGACTGTCAAACTTATAACGCACTCACATCTTAAACCGTGGAGAATATTTTTGTGATATCGCACTAATTCGAACGCAGCTCGTAAGCTTTGTATTCTAGAGCTCTACCACAGGGCCAACTAATGCCCTGGATCATCTTTTTTTTTAAAGTGTGATCAACTCTTAGTCCTCAATAAATATTAATATTTAAATCCTTCAAACCTGGCTGAATAGTAATAATGATAATGTTATATTTGCTAAGCCCAACTTAAACGATCTGCTCAGTTTTTTTATATTATAAGGTTAAGCTTCTTTCTCTAAAACTAACTCAAACGTTTAAAATTCCTAAGAAGGTTACACAAACAATAATAAACATGGTTATTTGTACTCAGTTTACCTTAAAGAACCCTTTGCACCCTTCGCAAGTTCGAACTCCGTAATGTTGACAAGCGGCGTTGTCTCCACACACTGCGCAGAGCTGGGAGGTAGAGGGTGTGGGCTCTTTCGTTGTTGGTGTAGATGGAGAGGAGTGGGCGCGAAAGCTTTGCTGTTGACTGAAAAGAAACAGTAACGTAAATTCTGAAACAAATTCATTGGCTTAGAAATGTGGCTGTGTTCTGAAATACTTCAAACAATTCAACCTACTGAAATACTTCAGACATATCAACCTACTGAAATACTTCAAACAATCCAACCTACTGAAATACTTCAAACAATTCAACCTACTGAAATACTTCAAACAATTCAACCTACTGAAATACTTCAAACAATTCAACCTACTGAAATACTCCAAATATATTAACCTACTGAAATTCTTCAAATAATTCCACCAGCTAGAAATACTCCAACCAATTCAACCTACTGAAATACTTCAAACAATTCAACCTACTGAAATACTTCAAACATATCAACCGACTGAAACACTTCAAACATATCAACTTACCAAAACACAGTAAACAATTCAACCTACTGAAATACTCCAAACATTTCAATCTACTGAAATACTCCAAACTTTCAACCTACTGAAATACTTCAAACATATCAACCTACTGAAATACTTCAAACATATCAACCTACTGAAATAATTCAAACATTTCAACCTAATGAAATACTTCAAACAATTCAACTTACTGAAATACTTCAAACATTTCAATCTACTGAAATACTCCAAACTTTCAACCTACTGAAATACTTCAAACATATCAACCTACTGAAATACTTCAAACAATTCAACTTACTGAAATAATTCAAACAACTGAATCTACTA